CAGCTAAAGCTAAACACAAATTTTATGTGCATTTAGTATGTCTTTTTATATGGTAAAGCTTTATCTGAAAAGCACAGTCATATGACTCAAAAAGAGCATAGATAATTGTCCCAAGTGCTGTTCTCAGACACATTTGTAAATGCTTTGACTTTTTCTCTCCCCTTCCTTGGCAATAGTATGAGTAGTACAAAAGTAAAAATGAAAATAGCTTGTCATTCATTACTACATCAGAGAGTATCTTCATTTCTCTATAATATCCAAAAATTATCTGTGAACATGCAAAGAGTTTCTTGTTTATATATTTTAAAATTATTAGATATCTCTCACTAATTGCCTTTAATGGATTTAGTAGTGGGATTTCAATAACTGATCCTACTCTGTGTGTGCTGTGCACTGTAAGTATCAGAGAGACACACTATAGGTCTCTCATGCCCAAGGGTTAACAACATTGGTTATAGCCTTTTTTGCAACACACAGTCTAGGTTTCTTTTAAGACAAGACCAAGTTTATGAAGTTCGTTATAATATAACTGAGAATGGCAGATAAACCCTACTTTCTGTAGGGCTTACTCTACAAATGGGCTACCTTATATCCCATAAAATATGGTCACAGGACTATTTAGAAATGCAGCCACCCATCTGGTTTGCAATTTAATCTACAAAGTGCATCGAAATGATAATAATTAATTGATGCACTTGCCATGCCTGAATTTACTCATCTGTTCATATGACACCACAGAAGTATGGATTATATCTGGCAGCCCAGCTGTCCGTGTCTGAAAAACAGTTTATCTGCCACCAGGCCCTTCTCTGAGGTTAAGATATTCAACAAGCAACCAAAGTGGATCATCTTTATTAGTTCTGACATTTTCAGTTTCATTTGAAGTTTAGCTGATGAAGCCTTTTTATGGCATTTCATTTCATTGCATATCTTCCTTTTTCTGCTTGTTGCAACTTGTATAATGTTCCTATTTCCTGAGGTTTGTTGATAAAGGACCTTCTCTTAACTATGGCCTGTGAAATATTTTGTCTCCCACACAATAATAAACCCTTTCTTATGTCTTTGGGTGTTGTTATTACTTCTATTGATTTATACAATTACTTTTTCTTGTCATATTTTTTGTCATTTGAAATATATTGCTTTGGATTTCTTTGCTTTAAATACACAGGTTTGGGAACCAACATCATTATTTGGACTTCCTTTAAAATAAAAATATTTATTTTTTTTTTCTCTCCTGGAGTATTTTTCAGCCTTTAGCTGAACAGCCAGCATAATATTGTTAACCAGAGCTGTTAATATAAGTCTCGGGTCTTACAGTGATTCTTTTCTCACCTGTCACCATACAAAGAGGATGTAGGTACTAGCGAGAGACATTCCTTTACTAGACCTGCTGGTTTCCAACAGAGGTTCTTAGGTGAAAGGACATGGACCTCCTTAGGCACAATACCAGTGTTTTCAAGAATCATTTCCTCAGTTTTTTAACATATGCCTGTTCTTCAAAGCCAAAGGTTGAAGTTCAATTTATTGCTTTGCTTTGGCTTTGAGGGTTCAGCATTGTGCTACAGTCCTTCAGGAGACAGAAGAGGAACATATTAAAGATGCAAGTGTCTTTCTTGGGATTATCTACCTTTGGTGACAGTGGTTCCAAAATTGCTTAAGACTTCTGTGGCGGACAGGGATTCCCACATATAATACTGTTGTGCTAGTACTGAGAGTATTTACACCCACTCACAGACACCTTTTCTTCCTGCAATTGCGGTCACCAGTGAGCCACTCTGTTATTGGATAATTGGCAGTCATCCACAAAGCTAAAGAAAGAAGTCAGAGGAAGCTATGCCAGAATTAAGGTGATTAAAATGACACAGCTTAATATCTTACATTATTTTCAAGGGAAAATGTGCTTTCCATAGTGATCATAAACTTGGGAGTTTAAGGGTTTGAGTTTTAAACTTGGGAGCAGAGCACATCAAATTTTTCTGTCATCTTTGCCAAGCAGTGCACTGAAGACTGTACAGCTTAGAGGAAACTTTGGAGGATAAAGTGTGCTGTGACCGGAATTTATCAATATTCATCATGGCCTGTATTAACTTTTGTGTCAGTCAGTCCAACTCAGAATAATACATTTTAAAGTGCTGATGAAAAGAAACTGTGAAGGAAATATTGTGGAAATTTGAATGCTTCAGAAAATAAAAAATAGTTGTAACGATACACTCAGGAAAAGTGCTTCCATGGCATCTGTTACTTATTGACCTGGTGTCTTGCTCCATTTAAATATAATAATATCTGTAAAGGAAATCCAGTGTATCAGCACATGTAACTTACTGGAATATAACACTTACTGTAATCTCTATGAGAATTATCTAGAATTTAGCTAATTTTCCCAAGTGTTCTTTGGAACAGAACAAAATTTCAGAAAAATGTTATAGTTTTAATTTAGCATTAGAAATATATGTTTCAAAAACCTCCTATGAAACAGCCAAAAGATGTTCTATCTTTAAAAGTGAGAGTAAACATATGTAATCATTTATTTTAAAGCAGGAAGAACCAAAATTAATTGCTATCATTTAGTATAGAAATCCACTCTGCTTGGAAGGATATAAGAAATTTGATTTAGGCATTTTGGTTAGATATACTGTGACATGGCATAATTTAAATTCCTTGTGATCAACAATTAGGTACAATGATTCACTTGCCTTTTGTATCAGCTTAATATGGGGACCAGTCACTGAAGATGTTAGGCACGTACAGATTTTCTCTTGACCTGCCACGTGCACAGTGACCACAGACACATATGAAGTATTATTGCATGAGGAAATATCTTTCCTGTGGTTAAAATTATGACTGATAGGTCATTGAAACCACCACTGTGTACAGCATAGATGTTGTGTGCCTTTTTCAGCAGTGATATATATATAGCCTTGTTGGAAGAAGTAGCCAGTCTTCCAAACACACAATCTCCCCTTCAGAACTGAAAAAACACCCAAAAGCTTTCAAGCTAAGTACAAGTTCAGACCACTTGTTCTGAGCTCTGTGAGAGAGGAGTCAGCTGAAGCACCAACTGCCTGAGCTAATAGGGTCGTTAGTGTTTGTGGAGCAAAGTGGGAATTAGGGTGTCAGAGAGCTGGTAAGTGGTTCTTGGGAAACTGAGAAGCAGGTATTTTATACCTTGTGAATGGTAAGTTCATGGAAGAAGATGATAGCAAATATCACCTTGAATCTCAGGGTTCGATGGTTCTGTAGATCTATGAATTTTGAATTATTATATACTCATCTTTAAGGTGTACTTTGCATATGTCCATTCAGATTGGGTTTTGGTTTCAGTTTTCAGCAGTCTAAATGACAACAGACAACTTGGCATAAGTCATGTTTTCCAGCAAATGCCCAGGACACTATTTCTTTGAAAGTCACTATTTTGCACAATTTATTTATTAAAGTAAAAGATGGGAGAGGACAAATGACAGGGGCATTTCTGGAAAAAGATTTTTATGCATTTTATTACTTGGCAGTTACACAACCCTATCTTTTTATCAGTATTTCCATCTCTAACTGATAGTCTGCTAAATCTTCTGATTTGAGTGGGTATGTGTTCATTCCTTCTCCATATGACATATATTTGTAACACTTCCCACCAGCAGACATTGGCTGCCTCCTGACTGTTTTCCTAACTTTTGCAGTTTACAAAAGGTGATAAATTTAATTCTACAAGAGTCTGTGCCTGATTTTTGAACACCATCCTTAAATTTCCTTTTATCTACAGACATTTCTCCTGGTCCTTTGCAGTGCTCTTCCCTACATTTTTCTGGCTAATATGTCAGAGTCAAGACATGCTGTTATAGCTAACATTTAGTCTTAACATTCACTCTTTTTCAAAGCTTGATCTTCAGACAGAGAGCAAATAGGGCTGCCTGTGCTGTTGTGGTCCAATAAGCTCTCTCGTGCAGAACAGAGAACCTCTGCTATTAACATGGCTTCACAAAGGCACATTCAAGGTGGTTTGTGCTGCAGCGTTTTCTCTGCCGGGTTAGTCATACACAACAGAAATCTTCACAGAGATCACGAATCTCCATAAAGAGTGTTACTGAATCCTTTCACTACACAGCACTGGAAGGCATGCTGATAGCATTATGGCTGCAATTTTAACAGTTTTCCATGGACTGGTGCAAACACTCCACCTAGTTAGGCTGGTCAGGAAGTGCTCATAGTTTGAACTGAATATTTCTCTTTAATGATCTGCTGGAATTTAGCTAACTTTTTTTCTCACTAGATTCAGCTTCTAGATAAGCTCCTACAACCAGAGGTTTGCAGAAGACCAAGTCAAGTGAGCAGCACTATTTCTGAGCAACATCTGTTACAAACCTGACTCAGAGCACCACAGATCTGAACTGGCAATGGGAAGGAGGAGCCACCTGGAACATTTGCGCTCCAGGTGACACTGAATGATGGAAGATGATCACCATTCTAGGGAGGCAAGGATGTCTCCCAACATCATTGTGTAATATTTGTACATATTCACAGTGGAAACAGAACATACTTCCATATCTAGAGCAGCGGCCCATCACATTTTGGGTTATATCCCCGACAAATTAATTATCTAACCTATAGCAACTTTGTCAGCAAATTATGGCAGTATTCTGTTAACACGTTATGAGCAGTGTTTCTGTCTGTGGGTTTTCTTTTGTTCTTAAAATACCTATAAACCTGGCTTTTGGCTTAAAAGATCAGAGCACCCTACATCAGAGTGCTGTGAATTGATGATGCTCACAGAGAATATTACCCTATGTTGAATACAGTTTGTATCCCCAGCACTGCAGATTTCTGATGGTCTAGGGAAAACAGGGGACGAATCATTCAAAGATTTATAATATAAGCATTATCCAAATAAATACCCTTCCCCCACTTTCAGAGTCTCTGGCCAAATACTGTGCCTCTGTTCCAGCTCCTCCTTACCGCCTCTCCCTGTTTCCGGATGGGCCCTGGCCCCAAGCCTTTATCTCCTCCAGCCCCTGGGCTGTTTGCAGAGAGCAGTTATAAAGAGGCTGACTGAGCAGAGAGTGGAGGAGAATTACAAGGTGCAGGAAAACAGCAGCACCGGACCAGACTGGGTGTCTGCTTCACTCACCACGACCTGCTCTGCACCATGGGGAAGAACAAGCTGCCCAGCAAACCAAACATCTTCCTCCTTCTTCTCTTCTTCCTTCCTGGAAATACCTCTCCCAACGCAGAACCGTAAGCTGCACAGGCGGAGGGGGGAGGGAGGTCTTAGTGCTCCCCTTTTCCTTCAGTTTTCTTCCTTCCTGTTTCCCAGTTCTTCCATTCCTGCCCTGAATCCCACTAATAACCAAGCCCTGTGTGTCCTGCACAGCACTGGCAGTGCTCCCCATTCCCACTCTGTAACCCCCTAGTTGTCCAGTCCTGGACCCCTCCCCACTGCCATCTCTGCCAGTGCCCCCCTTCGAGCCCTTCCTCCCTCCCTCCCCAATCTCTGTCAGTGCCCACAGTCCTGCCCTGCAGCTGCCTGATAGTCCAGACTTGGATCCTCACAACATCTTTGCCTAAGTATGTTTCTGCCTAAGAACCTCTCAGGACCTGGGGGTTTTGGGTCTGATGACAGATTCCAGACACTTTCCCTCCCTAGAGTATCCTTGTTTCAATCACTGAGTTACTTCTCCACATTCTCCTGTTGCTTTCAAGCTGGTTTGTTCCCCTTTCTCCTGCCAGTTTGTTTCCCTTGGCAGCATCAGATGTACTCGTTCTCAAAGAGGATCTGTGACCTAGATTCGCTTCCTCCGGCAGAGTCTGGCGCCAGCACCGTCCATTGGACATCCACGCCAGGGCTTTGCAGACCAACAGCACACACTCTGCTGATGGCCCCAAGGAGAGGGGCAGCCTGGGGTGGCACAGGCTGACTGGAATCTGGCATGCCCACCCCAGCCTCCCCTAGCAAAGAGTGTTGCTCTCAAGTCTCTAATCTGGGTGGGAGCAGTCTCCCTCTTCAGACTCCAGCTGCTGTCACACACTGTTCCTCTTGCTGTGCTGACAGAAGTGCAGCTCTCACACACACAGGTCTTGTAATGCTTGCTGCAGAGATTTCATGCCCAGAAGCACTGCCATAGTGCTAACAGGTATGGCAGAAGGTGCAGCATTACTGCTGCCACCCACTGTGTGGTCAGAGGTGAAGTGATGACTGGCTCAGCCTCTAGGACCTTTAAATCATAGTGTACTATCAGCTCCTCATTCATCTGCCCTGTTTGGATGCTTCCAGCGTAGATCAGCCAGCCAAGTCTGCCTTGGGGTCAAGCAGAGGTCTCTGGTCTCCCTACAGAAATCTGATGTAACTAAGTAATTAAGTAATCTTAATTCATCCTTGCTCAACATCAGGGGGAAAGGGAATAAAACCATCCTGTTAAGACCTTTGGGCAACATAGAATCATAGAACCTGGCCTGGGTTGAAAGGGACCTTAAAGATCATCTGGTCCCTGACGTGGACAGGGACACCTTTTGCTAGATGAGGTTGCTCAGAGCTCCATTCAACCTGGCCTTCAACACTTCAGGGATGGAGCATCCACAGCTTCTCTGAGAAACGTGTGTCAGTGCCTCACCACCCTCGGAGTAAAGAATTTTTTCCTAATGTCTAATCTAAACCTACTGTCTTTAAGTTTGAAACCATTCTCCCTTGTCCTGTCACCATGTGCCCTTGTAAATAGTCTCTCTCCATCTTTCTTGTGGGTTGATCTTTGTCCTGGATCTGAGCCCGATTTTGTGAGGGAAGAAGGAGGAAAGGATGAGGTGGGAGAGACAGGAGTGTTGTTGTGTTCCCCAGAAGGAAGATAGGAGCCCAGCAGGGAGGCAGTGGAGTCTGAGCTATGAATTGCTAGTTAGTATAAATGGTTTTAAGTGCTGCAGGGTAGATCAGGTGCTGTGTACAACACAGACGGGAAGCCATCCTTGAACTGAAGACAAAAATTAAACTTCCAGCTAAGACTTGCTTACTGTGCCCTGTGCAAGTAGTGATATCACTTCTTTGGGCAGCAGCAGTTGCTATTTCAGATGTGGCTGGCTGCACGGGAGACACAAGGTTCGGACTACATATTAGAAAAAAACTCATTCACAGAGTGCAGCACTGGAACATAGATGGTAGAAACTCCATCTATGGAGTCCTTTGCAACAGTGCTGTTCCAGGAGAGAAGTTGGTCTCGAGACATCCAGAGGTCCTTTGCAAACAAAACTTTTGTCGTTCTGTAAGATATTGAGCAAGATATGTTTTCTTTTGCTTTTTTTTCTTCCATTGCTTTTCTTTCTCCGTGTCGTTCTGGAAGAATGCAACAGAAGGTATTGTTCTCCTATTCTGTAAGCTGTTTTACAATGCAGTGTACATACTTGGGAATACACTGAATATGGTCGGAAATGTGAGGTTATAATGACACTTGAATTGGCAAGTATGGATTTGGGCTGATGGAGCTGATGAAAATCACTGCCTTCTTTGATTAGGTGCTTGTTCTAGTAAGTAGCTGAGGGTCAATACACAGACAGACATGATTCCACCTTAAGCTACAGTATTACCTTCTCTGTATAGACAAACTCATAATTTTTGCCTCAACCACTTTCCCCAGGGTCTCCTATTCCTCCTTTGATGCATGCTTCTGTCAGAGCCACTGCCTCTCTCGTCAGAACAGCTTGTTGCATGCAGGGAAGATGCTGAGGTCTCTTTAGGCAGCTTTTTTTGTCTGGAATGTCTACACGTGGATTTTGTGACCCAAGTTACTTAAAGCCCTCCTAGTACTTTAATTAATCTAGCTCTTTTCACCAACACATCCCAAAACACCTAAAGAGAGGTCTATAAACAGCATATTTTATATCTTTGTTTCAAAGGCAGGGAAACCAGTCTAAGGGGAAGTTCTGCAAGTTGGCCAAAATTTCAGAAGAACAGTGAACAGGAAGAGAAATGAGGCCAAATTCCCAACAAACTAGGTCACGCTGTCCCTTCGGTCGACTGGATGTTATTGTCAGATTGCCAGTGCCACTGACAGGGGACAGGGAAAATGAGTTTAGGGGAAACAGGCATGGGGTGAAGCTGTGGTGAGAAGGCTGTGGAAGAAGGGAAACACTGGAGAATGCAGAGAGTCACAAGTAGTAAGTCACTCCTTGGGTGGCTGGAGTTCCCTCCTTTCATTGCTTCTGAAGCAGCACGGGCTGAGCAAAGTTGCTGCCAGGCTCCTCACCACACTTCATCCTATTGCCTGGTGGTGAAGGAAATTGAAGTACTGCCTGGGTTTCACTGCCTCCACAGTAGCTTTAGGATTTCCCAAAAAGCCCAGAGCCCAGGCAATAACGTAGCTCTGGATGGACAAAGCTGTATTTGTCCTCTACTCCTTTCTGAACACTTTCATACAGTCCTTTTGTTACTCATTACTGAATGGGAATTTTCCAAGAGTGATCAACGGTGCTCAAGTCTGCGTAGTAATAGCCCACTTAGTGATATTATTTTCCATTTATGAACAGTTCATTTGCCATTTTTGCTACTCAGTTCTACCATATAACAACACTTTTTCACAAACACATAAGTCAATTTTAGGTATTTTCTTACCCTGGACAATTATCAGAAAATTTTACTTCCCAGATCATTTAGAAGTGTACTGAAGAACAAGGATCCCAACACAAATTCCAGAGATTTTCATTGGTTCCTACCCTTTCTGTCCTATCTTTTAACCAATTAATCCGGGTCAGAATTAATAATTCTGATTTATTAGTAAAATGATCCCTTTTATTGAATGACAGATGAGTTTAAGGGTCTTTTGTGAGGGACCTTTGTCAAAAGCTCTTTGAAGGCACAAGTACACTTGAGTTGCAATAAAACACTACACTCTGAAATCCTTTGTGTGCTCATCTTAATAAGGTCCCAAACTGCTCACATCTTTGCTCAGCATGTGAAAGATTTGGAAACCTGGATAGGCAAAGACTGGAGCAGCCAGACAACTGGGTGGGGTTTTTCAACTGTTTTTAGCTAGTGCCTTTGAGTCTCAATAGGAGATTGTAGGATATACAAAATTCAATTAACAGCCTGGAACCTTTCAAACCTTCCTTTCTCCCTGCTGTGAAGCCAAACAAAACATCCTTTGTAAAGCACTCTCTATTAGCATAGAAATTGTTCCTTCTACTGCAAGCATTTTCCGGCTTTTAGGCTAATTAGTTAGGCCGTTTAATATGTATAAACCCAAAATAAAATGAATGCTCATGTTATATGCACTGCAGTTCACAGGGATAGTAATGGATTAGACATGCTGATTTGTTAATTTCCTTTCACTTAATACTGTTCCATTAAAACTGTTTCACATTTCTGATCTTTCTTGCTTCCCTCTCTTCCTAGGCAGTATATGGTGCTACTGCCCTTTGTGATACACACGGATTCTCCTGAGAAAGTCTGTGTTCAGCTGAGCCACCTCAATGAGTCTGTGACTCTGAGTGCCACACTTGAGCATCAAGGGGAGAACAGGAGCTTGATTGATGATGTGGTGTCAGAGAAAGATGTGTTCACCTGCATCCCTTTCTCTGTGAGTATCTCATCCTTGTGGGATGATCTCTTGTGTTTATTGACGTGATGTAGTAGATCCAAACAGTCCAGAAATGAAAAGTAAGACACACTGCAATCAGCCTTCTAAGCTAAGACAAACAAAAAATTTAGTTCGATGTGGATATCTAACTGTGGTAGCCTTATGAGGAATAATTTTCCACCATTATCAAATTCTGTGTCCCACATGATGCTTCTGTGCATGCAGGACTTAGAGAAGTCTTTTGGAACTTCGACAGACAGAATGTATCCCATTTTTGTTTGATCTATATAAGCCTCAGAGGAAAAGTATTGAGGTGGAATCAAAACTGTAGAAACTGGGGAATGGTTAAAGATACTGAGATTCATGAGGTCATTTGTCTCCTTCTGGAGCTTATTCACAAATTTTTACTGCAGGACAGAGGTTGCTGAGTAATGTAAGCAACAGGTTTCACCCCCTAATTAATGAATCTGGGTTAATTTTTGTTTTGATAAATCACCGATACAATAGAGTAAGATCAGATTCAATATTTCTCAAAAAAAGTGCATAAATGAAGGAAGAGAATAATGTTTTTCTCTTGTTTCATGCATTGAGTCTTTTTTGTCCCTTTAGGGAACTTTCTGACCCAGATAATACTCCGTCCTTCAAAGGCTTAGGGCAATGGGGTGAATCTGTAAAACAGTTTTCCTCTTCATTTTCCTTAGCTACCAAAATCCAATAGCACATCAGTGGCATTTCTCACTGTGATGGTGAAGGGGGACACCCTGCAGTTCAAGAGCCGCAAGTCAGTGCTGGTCAAGAATTCTGAGAGCTTGGTCTTCATCCAGACAGACAAACCCATCTACAAGCCTGGACAAACAGGTACAGGGAATTGGGTTGGTGTTGACTATGACAGCAGAAAATCTCAAGGACTTAATTCCCCAGAGACACTATACTTTAAAAGTTTGGGGTAGTTAAAACTCTCAGTAAATCTTATATCTGTCAGCTGAGATCTAGGGCATGTGGTACCTTCATCATTCCTATTTTTCATCCTCCAGGCACAGCATCTCAGCCAGATGTAGACATAGGCTCAGATTCATTCTACTTAACTGGTGGCACAAAACTGGGATGACTTCAAAGCATAGTCTCCCTTGGCTGCACCTGAATCAACAAAGCAGGACAGGCACTCCCTAGGGACAATTCAATTCAGCCAAGACCTAATTATCCTTCTAAATTTATCTGCCCCTCACCATCTGAAAAAGAAAGAACCTGAAGTAATTGCTTCCATTACTGAAAGATCTCAATTCAGAGACTGTTGATCCATGGAATGAATTTGAGTTATAAGTTATTGAAACACTGACATTTCCTGGTAATGGCTAAAAATTTAACAGTGGAATTTCCTTCTTTTCCGTTACACCCTTCAGTTATGTTTCGGATCGTCTCTCTGGACAAAGACTTCTACCCACTGAATGAGAAGGTAGAGTCATAATTACTTGTTGTTAACCAGGAGTTTTGATTCCCAATTAACACCATTATTGTCATCATCCAGACCCACTGAAGACAGCCTTTAAAGCATATGATACTCTCTCACACCATCCTTCCCTCATTTCGTATTCTGTCCTGGGACACACTCCACCTGTCTCTATTGGCTGAAAAACATGTCCCCTTTTTCAAAAGCGTACAGATGTTTAAAGCCAGATTTGCAAAAGCCTGTATGTGGCTAAGCATCTGGGCAGGGATCTCATTACTGAAAATGTGGGTAGGACAAGTTTCCATTGGAAGTGACAGATCTGCAGTTGTTTCTGGCAGTGGGTGCAACCACAAGCTTAGAAACAGAGAGCAGAATGACAAGAACTTTGTTCTAAGGAACTGGTCAGGGGTGTAAGTCCACCCTTTTAGCTTATTTGACAATCAGTTCCTCATGCAGACAAGTTCTTTGAAAACTCTTACTTCATCATGTTTTCATACTGTGGTAAGATGAAAAGTCAGGGCCCTAAAATATTATAGAAAATATTCTCTTAACCATCAAGAACCAAGGAAAAAGAGCAAGTACAAAAAGGGAAGAACCCAAAGGACTTCTTAGAAGATTGTTCTTCTGTCCTTCAGTTCAAATCTGGAAATTACTTCCATCCACATGTAACTAAGATGTCTAATACTGATTTTTCTTTGCTCTTGCCCCACAGTTTCCATTTGTCTACGTTCAGGTAAGTGGATAACCATGTTATTATTTCAGAATAATGTGCAGGCACAGAGGTACTTGTCTCCAGCAGTGTTTTCAGGCTGAGGTGCAAAGGAAAACATAGGATTTATAAACTTTTTCCTTTGGGTACAAGAAGGCTGAGTAGCTGGACATCAAAAGAAGTTCCAACAATGGTTCTTTGATTGCAAAATGTGCTGTAGGAACAAAATAGTTAATCAATGCAAGCCATGCTGTGAACAGAATTACACTTGCCTGGAGGTCGTATCAGAACGGCTTATTCCTCCTTCCAATCAGAACTAAGATTTTCTATTTGCCAAGTGTGGTTGAAATTGGAGAACTGTGTTAAGTAAGTTAAGGACCAAAGGAAAGAGTGGCAGGAGTAAGGTAACAGCCTAAAAGTCAGCACTGCTAAAGAAATAAATATCCATCAATCCAGACCCTTAATGTCACTAATTTATCTTAGTCAACCACCAAGGCAGAAGTTAGAATGAGCCTACTATTTCTGAACTGTTATCATGACCTGTTGCTTATGTCATTTAGAACTAAAAAAAAAAAAAACACCAAAAACCCTTTCTGAGGAAAAACACACTGGCTTTCAGGCCTTCCCTATAGATACATCACGGCAACAAGATCACAAGCTCAGCTGTAAACATTTTCTTGAGTTCCTCTTCCAAGGAAGCCCAGTGGTGTCATTCACATTAAGGGGTGAGCTTTTTAGCCGGGTTGAAATGTGATAATGAAGAGGATTTGGTCAGAGCACTGGCTGTTCTGTCCTCCCAGAGTGCTTCTTGGGAAGACAGGCCCCGCTTCTGCCCCCTGACTGGTGACCTCCAGTTGGGAGATGCCATTCACATCCTGGTTTTCCCTGAGCACTGAGATAAAATCTCAGTGAAGTAAATGCACGTAGTCACATACCTTGAGTCACATACCTATCTAGAGTAAATGAACTTTTGGTGACAGACGAGGTACAAAGCAAAGAGCAGGCAGAAAATGAAAGACTGTAAACATTAACTATACTACTGAGCAGCCTGGAAAGGGGCATCAAAATACGTAGCTCCACTGTGCCAATTCAGTGACTTCTACAAGAAATTTGGGGCTGAGTGAATTATTATTGATAGTTCATAATGAACATTACACAGCTGTAATAGTGGTGAGACTTCAGCTCCAGCATTAGGAGCAGGGAGATACAAGAAAAGAGAGCTCCATATGTGGGGTACATTTCCCTCTGTTCATGTAGCTTTGGACTCTTACACATGTACATTTCTCAGTCCCATAGATATATCAGGCATCTGATTCCTCATCAGACTGTGTACTGGTACTTCAACAGTCTTCATTCCAGGCAGGGAAAAAACCAACCCTTTTTGCAGGCTGTATAGCCAGTTAAGGAAGCTGAAACTTCCTTCCTAGGAGGGAACGTCTAGATCTCCCCTTCTCTGTGTTCCACTTCTGATATCAATTTCTTTATCTTGCTACCTTGCCAGTCTGTCTTTCCTAGATTTCAGGCCCCATCATTCGTAAGCATGCATGTAGAGCTGAGGAGGAGACAACACAGGACCATCAGGGTTAAAAAGCTTTCTTGTGTGCTAGTTATGCAGAATTGACAGGTAAGTGCTTACAGATCCTCACAGATTATTGAATAATTACAGACAGGCCTATCCCAGCAAGGACATATAAATTGGGCACTGCACTGCTCTGTCCCCAGGAGTCTCCTGTCTTGTGATGTTTTTACTCTCACCTGTAGGATCCCCAGAGGAACCGTGTGTACCAGTGGCAAGGGGTGGAACTAGAAACAGGCCTTATACAGCTCTCCTTCCCCCTCACATCAGACCCCATCCAGGGCTCCTACAAAATAGTTGTGCAGAAGAGCTTCTCATCCCCTGTGGAACATTTCTTCAGTGTGGAGGAATATGGTAAGGAGAGGAGGTATGGGCTGCAAGTGGGGTTGACAGCAATGCCTTTTACTGTGACCTCTCAATTTGGAATTTCCTGGGAACAGCATGTAGAAAAGAGGGACTGAATATACAGGCAATGGGATTCATAGGGGCTGAGCCAGAAGGTATTGAGTATCAGAAGTGGCTGGCTTATTTGGTTCAAAGTCAGGCATGGTGAATAATTTGACCACAAACAAAGTTATAGGCTTCAACGTACCATGGTGACAGATGGTCTGTTCCTCCTCCCGCAAAGATCATTCTGAATACCCCACAAGATCAAAGAAGTATGCCCCTTTTCTAGCCTTACACTAGGCTAATTTTTCTTTTATTTGTTCTTGAGTCGTTTCTGTGAATCTTTCCTATTGCTATTTCTCTTACAGTCTTTTGAGGAAATGTGCTCTGGGGTTGAAACATTGAGCCTTGCCTCCCATTTTAGAGACAAATTTATGTCTAAACTGTATAACCCAAGGTTATTTTCCACTTCCTGGGTCTGGATGTGTACCCACCCTGCTGTTATTTCCTTGCAGTGTGAAAAACACCTCAGGTTCACCACCTGGAAGCAGGCCATTACATGCTTCAGTCCAGTCCTGGGCATGAGTAGTTGGAGGCTTAGGGTTGTAGGATGCAATATGGGAAGAGGGATGTAATTTAATACTCAGGAGCAAAATATGTCTTTTACTTGTACCCCTTTATATTGAGCTTTATTGCTGCCTCTTCCCCTTGAAAATATAGCCCTGAGAGTCTGTGGCTAGATTCATTAGAACTCCCTGGGCATGCAGGACAGTATCCCATGGTACATATTAGTGAACCTAAGAGCAGCTTCGGACCTCCTGAACAGTAAGAATCAACCAAGAGAATCAATGATTCAAGACATTTCAATGTGTTAAATTACAAAGGTGGTGAATGTGCTGCTCCAAGTCCTAGTTGCAAATTATGAATTGTGAACACAACACACAGGACCAATGTGTCCTTCTCAATGGACATACATAAGGGATCTACACAGCTGTCTGGTGCCAGTGGGATCACTTAAGCATGTGCTGTAAATAAGAGAAGGTAAGGACTACAAACTTCCTTAATTCCCTTTGAACCCAAAAAATGGTGAAGGCTGAGAAAACCTAGGGAAGGGGTAGGAGATCCCTGCTAAAGAGCACGAAGAGGTTCCTATTAAGATGACCCTGGCTCTCTGTTTGGGTTGCTGTATAGTACACAGCTGTCATTCACTCATCTCATATCAGACTTTCTGTCTCTCATTTAGTGCTGCCCAAGTTTGAGGTCCTGGTGAAGCTGCCCAGGATGATCACGATTAAGGACGACGAGCTTCCAGTGTCTGTCTGTGGTCTGTGAGTTACAGAGCTCCAGTAAATCTCTCTTGCTTATCCTTCACTCCTCCTTTCTACCAAGGACCAAAAGAAGAACTGGTGAAGGCTTTTTATACTTTTCCCAGGCATCCATTGCAAGCTTATTTCACTCTGTCAATCCTGAGCTTGCTACTTGGTCTGAGCAGTCAAAGTGAAGGGTCTTCTCTGTGTTCCTTTAAAGATGATGTCAAACTGGTCCACAGCTCTTACTTCCCAGTTCATTGTATATTTTCTCTTTCTGTCCTTTCATTTCTTCAATTAGAGCTTCTCTGCCAATCCTGAACCCTCAAATACTCAGAGATATCAGATCAGACATAATTTACGCTGGTGATGCAAACCCAGTGTTCTCATTTTTAACTCATAAATTGCTCCTTCTGAGCTCCTGGTTGCCTTTCCATTTCTTCACTGAATCCTCAGCAGTTTATAATACAAGAATATTCCTGGCTGAAATAATTTTCTAAAGTCAATCTTTTTCTGCAAAGACCTCCCCCCTAGAACAGAATGTATGTTTCTTCCATGTATAATGGCAGAATCTTACTATGGAAATGATGTAAATATAATCACTAGAATCATTAAAATATCAGATTAGTCAGCCTTTAAGAAGAAGTATTAGGAAATTGTCCACAGAGGTCTCTAAGGAGATGCATTTGAGTGTGACTGTAACTGATTGTCTCTTCATCTGATACATTAACACGTTATTATTATAGGTACACCTATGGGAAACCTGTTCCTGGTTTGGTGAATGTCCAAGTGTGCCGTAAATTTTCCCATTCTGCTTCAAGTTGTTACGGAAAAGAGGCAGAATCTGTGTGTGAAGAATTCACTAGACAGGTGAGTCCCAAGACTAACATGTAGTATTTTTTCTTATGGTTAATGGGCAATGTTATCTTAAGTGAGGCCAAATCTGTGACTGTTGGGAGATAGTAGAACATCAGAGATGGCACTCTGTCCAGGGAAAAGCAGAGAATCTCAGAGGAAGGCAGGCTTCAGAGAGGGGTCGTTAAACTGGAAACAGAATTGATGATGAAAACTCTACAACTGGAATCCTGACCCCACTGAGACTAGTGACAAATCTGCAGTTATCAGCCATGAGGTCCCTGCTATGGTTCCAAAAACCAAGAAAATAATCTGTGAAAGAGTTTTGTGACTGTGAGAGGGAGTGTCAGGGAGTGAGGAGCAAAGATGAGGACAAAACAAGAAAGCAGTATAGAGAATAAGGAACAAAGAAGATGAGGTAATATTGTACATGGGTCAAATACATGAGAAATGGCAACAAGGAAAGCAGTGAAGACAATGGAAGAAACAGGAAGAAAAACAGAACTAAGGTAGGAGGAAGTTAACAGGGAACAGTGTGTACCTTAGAGAACTGTGTGTCAGGTACCTCCCAGAACAGAGAAAACATACAGATGAAACGCTAGGAAACAGGCTGAACACAAGTTCTGGTCTTGGAGACATAAGTCTGGGATTTCATGGACAGAATTTAGGCATGTTGGGTTTGGGGTCTCTATTTCAGTCCTTCATGGCACCAACTTTGTTCACAGTATTTCAATTTTCTCTCCAATGCCTTGCTTAGTCAGATGCTCGTGGGTGTGTGTCTGGTCTAGTGAGGACCAAGCTATTTCAACTCCAGCGTAGGGGATATGAGATGAGCATTGAGGTACAAGGCAAGATCACAGAAGATGGCACAGGTATGTATCACATGGATATGGCAAAATGGTGGCAGGCCCTAACAGGAGGCCTGGCAAAGACAAGAAAGATGGACCAACATGACTAAAAATTCATTAATAATCCCTCTTTACTGGGCTCTGTCTCAGGAATAGAAATGACTGGAACAGGCTCCTGTGGTATCACACCCATCATGAGCAAAATCAGCTTTGACCTGCTGGACTCTCAGTACAGACCAGGGATTCCACTCTTCGGGAGGGTAAGGAACTTCTGAGACCATGGACAACAAATGGCATAGCAAACACACAAGAGTGTAATCCCATTAGATGGAGGAGCAGTGAGTGCAGGTTACATGGCCCACCTTCCTCTGCCTTTGCACAGGCAGATGAATTATTGATAGTTGGGGCACTCTAAGAGGCACATGACCCTGACACTCCAGGCAGTCAGCCCAGTACAGAAGAGAAGGCCCATTGTTCTGACAGGGAGCAACAAGCTTGGACTATTCCTCAAAGGAATGTTATCCAGGTGCAAAGGGTGACCACAAGACAGGTAGGCATAGTGATCTCATCAACAAGAGCACAGTCCCAACTACTCAGCCAAACTGAGCAGAGCAGGAGTGGTGACAATAACAGGTTCCACCAACAGTCTAGTGACCACTCGACAATGTGAGATGATGAGTCAGGACTGAGACCAGTCAAGAAAGTCCACTTAACCAAATGGGAACAGCAGGAGAAAGAGCTACGTGTAGGTCTACCGGGACAAGGCACAAGCCAGAACATAGAGTTCCTGAACCAAGAGGTAGATGATAAGTAGTGGAGTCCCAAATGAGGCTGGCCAGGGGAATTAAAACTACTGAGGAACTTAGGATCCTGATAGATCATTTCCATGGGCCAATCAGCCTGTTTTACTGAGAATTTTCTCAGTTGTTCCCTCAACTCAGGACTTGCCTCACACATTTCCACATTCTTTTCTTTTGTTCTTCTCTGTCAAGAAACATCCTGCCTGGAAAGAAGGAAAAAGACAAGTGGCTTTACTACTTGGGTATTATTTTCTGTTGCTAGTCTAAAACCTGAAGTTTGTTATTGCTTTGTTAGGTGAAGCTGGTCGATGGCACTGATGCTCCAATTGCCAATGAAACCATCACAGTTTCTGTGGATGGAGACAGATACAAAGGGAATTACACTACAGATGAGCAGGGACAATCCTCGTTTTCCATAGACACTACCACCTTCACACAAGCCTCCTTGGAAATCCGAGTGAGTGGCACAGACAGGGGTAAGCCTCTGTCTTTCTCATCAACAGGGAAATATCTATCCGTGGGTTGTCAGTCTTTCTGCCAGCTGGAAAATAAGGCAAGTTTCTTGGCAGGTGACCTCTCTTCTCTGTGTCTTCTGTGCATGTTCTCTACCAGCTTCTAAGAATGGGAAATACAGAACATATCCAGAGTTTTTCTGTGGACTTTTATGTGACTTGTTACCTGGTTTTTTTAGCTATGAACTTTTTTTCCTCTTTCTCAGGCAGATCATAAACCTGAACTGAACTGTTATGACAGCAACTGGATCACGCCATCATATGAGCATGCCATGCGTAGAATAAGTCGGTTTTACTCCCCCAGTAAAAGCTTCCTCAAAATTGAGCCAAAGCATGAGACATTAAGTTGTGGCTCCCTTGCAGAGATCCAGGTGCACTATATCTTCACACGGGAGGCCATAGGGGAGCAGAAGAAAATTGTCATTTACTACCTGGTAAGAAGTATTTGTGGCTACTTTGATCTATGGTCACAGAAAGTACTGTGTCATCTATAGCTATGTCCCATGATGAGGAACTACTGCACTGCTATATAGCCATTAACGGTAGGGAGGGTTTGAAATGGAAAGTGTGACCTGCCGCAGTGCAGTCTAAACACATTTCCTTAATATTTCTCATTTCTCTGTCTTCTGTGAGCAGATATAGGTAGGGTGTACATGTTTTACTAAGAACAGAAGAGAGACAGAATACTGATGGAGAGCACTGTCTTGGGCACAGCCACCCAAGACTCTCATTTCATGATAATGCACTCCCAGTTTCCCCCATTCCAAATTCCAGTTCACATATGGCCACTAGTCAGAAAACAGCACCCTACAATAAGAAGATAAAAGATAAGAAGGAAAAATATCTTCTACTCCATTTTGCGCGTTGGTAGTCATCTGACTGATGAAACTAAAGCAACACCTCTATCTACACTACCAGAAAAACCCAATAAACTGTTCAGCTTAGGCTGAACATCAAGCAATCATGGAAAGTTCGGGATACCACAGTGGTCAGAATAGACTATAGCACGCTGGCATTGAGAACTATGAATTTGTTCAATTTGGAGGTCAGAGAAAAGAGACTAATTGAACTGTAACCAAAAAATTATATCCCAGTTTTGCTTGGAAGAACCGGAAGAATCAGGTGAAAATTCAAATAGGATTTCTTTCTCCCTTTGTTTTTCTGGTCCTCCCATTTAATGACACTAGGAGAATGATAAGAGTACCTTTGGAGGACCAGAAGAAATCAGTGGAAAAGACAATTCCGTTCTGATGGATTGTACAGAACACTGGGGGACTTAGGCTGAGATTCAAAAAAGAGAATAGAAACCCGTGCTAGAGATGCCTATGTGCTTATTTTCAAGATTGCTAACAGCTAATTGAAGGACAACATACCTGCTTCCCCTTGGAGCCTGGGAAAGCTGGTCTTAAGTATGCACATACAGCAGGTAAACAAACAGTGAGATACCTTCAATTTTTATAGGAGTGGATCCTACACCTCAAAATTCAAATATGGTGCTATGGAATATATATATTTCCCGTGGAGAGTAATTGTATAGAAACCATTTTTGACTGTGAAAAAGGAATCTTCTAGAAATGAAGAAATTACAGGTAGCATTCAGGCTGTTGCTTACTGCCTGAATTCAGGTACCTTATTCAAGCTCTTATTATTTGCAGCCTGTACTCTTCTGTCCCAACTCTGTGGAGTTATGAAACTAATCCTGATTAAATTTTTCTTCAGACTATTTCACAATGCAACTGAAAATGCAATTAGGAGAATTTTTGACCCTCAATCTGTTCCAGATTGTTAGAAATATGCATATGATCCCCAAACTTATGTAGGGTCAGAGATAAAATGCATTCAAACCTGTAATATGTACAAAAGCAAGAGAGGTCTGATCAGTGAGCAAATACTGGTCCTCCTAGGAGTGAATACTTGTCTCCCAAGACCCAGTGAATTCTAGTCTGGCACTTGCTTAATATCTTCTTGGTGTTGCTCACAGTTGGCAATGCTATTTATACTAACAATCTACAGATAACCCACTGAATGTTCCTTCTCCTTCCTTTCAACACCAGTAGCAAAAATTACAGAAGGTTTCTCTGTCACACAGGTGATGGCCAAGGGAGAAATTATATTAGCAGACACCCATGATCTGACTGTGAATCCTGGAGATGGTGAGCAGTACTATGCATTTTCAGTATTTCTAATGATAATTTGGGGGCAGGGGGGACATAGATAAATTATTTAGATTTAAACATTTAATTTAATGTTCAATTCAAACATTAAATGTAATGTTTGAATTTTCAAAATTAGATCTTTTTGATGAAGTGTCTTGGATTAGTTTTGTTTTCTCTGAGTTCTGTCAGGTGCTATTTTTTTAATGATAAAATGTTAAAAAAATTCACAAAAAATAAGCATAATGTTTTGGCCATTTCCTAAAACCAGCACTTTCTGATGACCACTCTACCCTATTCTGACTGCTGATGCTTACCAGTGTTGTGGGATCACATGTACAGTGAACAGAAAGAAGTGTGTCTCTTTTTCTTTCTCTCTCTTTCCTTCATTTTTTTGATATTGTTCCTACCTTGTAAGCATGCAAACCCAAACATACACATATTCTAACCAATACATTTAATTTTATTCATATAAATGTCTGAGGGTTACACATTTCAGTAACTGAGACTGGCTGTAATGCAACTTTAAATGTCTTTGGACAATAAGACCAGGAGATATTTTGTAAGTCTATGAGAAGGAGTTGCGCTGCAGTGGCTATAAACAGTTTATGGAACTAAAAGGTCTTGGGTGCTGTATGTTCGTACAAAGTTCTGCATCCTCACTAGTAGCAGTTACTAAACTAACACCATGGCTAATATCAAGAGATGTTCTGTCGCCTTGTCCAGATTGTGACATAAAGTTCAGGCCCAGATAAAAAGAGTTTTAGAGCACAGAGGGGCATTTTCTATTGTGCTTGGAGCAAGAATTTAGTGTTCCAGCTAAATGCTTGCTTAGCAGTAAATTTGCCAGTTATTCTTTCAGCCACTTTGCAACCTTGACTGCTGTCTCCCTTTACAATAGTCTGTTACCTTTTTTTCCCTCATCTGTTTTTGGTAGATCTTGGAGCTTGAGGGAAACAGTGGTTGAGAACATCAAGAAATTATGCCAGATGTTAACTGGGGAGAATCTAAAAGCTTTCCAAACTCACTCCATTTGGCTATTCATGATCACTCTTTGAATGCAGGTATCTTCAGCAGCAGCCATAGGCTTCAATCATGTATCAGTGTTCCTGCCCCTGCTGACTAAAAATGTTCGGCAAGAGTGAACTTGACTGTTTTATCTAGGAAAGGAAAATGCATATACTGGGACTTCTTGTGTGTTGATCAGCCTTTTTTTCTCTCTGTTAGCTTATGGGACATTTCAGCTGACCCTCTCTGTTGAGGCAGCAATCGCTCCCCTGGCACGGATGCTTGTTTATACCACTTCGCCCAGTGGGGAAGTCATTGCCAGTTCAGCAGATTTCCAGGTTGAAAGTTGTCTCCCCAATAAAGTGAGTATATGTCACAGTTTATGCAACCCATGTTTGTCTTGTGACCAGTAGTTCAATTATAAGTTCCAGAATGGAGGCAGAATTCACAGTGTGTTCATTGACTGAGGATTGTTGACCAGAATAAATTACAAAGCTATAACTATAAAAAGTGGGGCAAGACAATAAAAAAGCAAATCACTCATCATTATTAATTACATTGGTCAAAGCTGAATATATATTATGAGAATTGCAAGACACTAGCAGAGCTTAGTTCACAAGGCTAGAAGCATCAGTATAATAGCATGTAACAGTGTCTGGAAAAGTGGCTGTTTGAACTTCTTTTTGGATTTGCAGGTGAGATTGAATTTTGTACCTAAGGAAGGTCTTCCTGCCTCCAACACACACCTAAAACTCCATGCCACACCAAGGTCCCTGTGTGCCCTCCGTGCTGTGGACAAGAGCGTTCTCCTTATGAAGCCTGAAAATGAGCTCTCTCTCAGTTCTGTAAGTCTTGGCTACTTCTGGTAATGAGCAAGTACAAGAACCAACCAAATACTTATTAACACAACTAAAGACATGGGGCTATGTATTTTTACAGGTACATTCACTGCACTTGTTTTTCAGAAGCTGGCGTTTACCAACGGAGTGTTAGATAGTATCTCCCCCTATAAGTGCTGATCTGCAACATTTTCCCCTGGTTTTTTTGCATTTACCTAGGTGTATGATCTTCTTCCACTGAAGGAAATCCGGGGTTATAGCTTCAAGGGCTACTACCTGGAAGAAGACAATATAAACCCTTGTGTGTCACTTGAGAATATGTTACTAAATGGATTTGTCTACATACCCATTTCTCCTGATGGTGAAGGTGATACCTATGACATTCTCAAAGTAAGCATCAGCCTTTCATTTTTCTTTTTGGTCCCTTTTTGGAATTGTCTGCTCTCCTCATCTGCCTTCAAGCGTTTTTTAATGAAAACAAAACAAAACAAAACAGAAAAGCTCATTTGCTGTAAACTTGCTAACTTTTGTATGCAAGAAAATAACCAAGCCCGGGCCCTTCATACTTAGCCCATCACCAGTACCTGAGTGTTTCTCTGAACCATTAAAACTTCGAAAGGTCTCCTCATTGCTAATAGAGATACCTGCAAATGGGCTCGAGTAAGGAAACAGTCCTGAGAAATTATTTCTAGTGCCATAATATTAGAAACTCTTCCTCATTCTTTCATGTTTTCTCTCTCTGCTTTAAAGATGTCTTCAATAAAGTGTCAGTTACTTTGATAACCCAAAAATCCACCTATACCCATCTAAAGTGTCTTGCACTTTTTGGGTCCCTTCAATCCCATGTGTTTCACACATGTCATTTTCATACAGGCAGCTGTGCTCAAAGTAGACCTATGGCCTTAGTATTCCATCTGATCATGCCAGAATTTAGCCATAGTATGAGTGTAACATGATAGAGCCTCAACATCTAGGTTAAATCTGTCTATCTGGAATTTATATACAAGCCTTTATTATTCTGATCACTACCAGACTTAAGTACATCTGTTCTTGACATACTAAATAAAGTTTATATCCAAACCAGTTTTTTTTTCATATTTTTTGTTCTTCTTTTTCTTTGTTTACTAGGAATTGGGCTTAAAAGTCTTCACTAGCAGCAAGATCCATAAGCCTGAAGTCTGCCAGCATTACCCAGGACACATGATGGAAAGGAGTTACAGTGGTTCTAGTACCTTCTTGATTTCACCTCCCACACAACTTCCTAAAATTTACTACCCTGCTTCTTTCCTTCCCTTTACATCTTTGAATATTAATTACACCAGTCAGATCTGATTATGTTCAGATATGCTAACCTAATTCAGGATCAATCCCTTCTGGACTCAGTCCTGAAATATGAAACTGCTCTACCTCTGCCTGCATCTTCCCAGCTAGACAGATATGTCTGGCTAGAACTGTGTGTGCTTGGTGACTCCCATGCCAGCCCCTACAGCAGAGATCTTGTAGGCACTAAAAGAGTCTTTCAGCACAAAGTAGTGGCTTTTTTTTTTCCATCAGACTTGAGTTCAACTGTGGAAACCTAAAAAAGGAGTCTCTACTTCTAGGCAGCCACATTCTAGCAATAGCTAGAGGAACAACTAGGGTAACAGTGGGCCAAGACAAATGGTTGATATTTTACCACTGGAAGCTGAGAAATTTAGTTCTGTTCCCAGCTCTCCCACTCACATGACTAAAGGAGCTGGGTATGTCACATCACTTTGCTGCAGATTCAGTGACTATGAAGATATAACAATGATACTACTTTTGTTTGTTTGTATGTTTGTTTTCTCGAGTAGTTCTCAGACTAGAAAGGCTATATAAGAGTCCTACCTTTGTCACTTCCAGTTACTGACTTTTCCAGTGCAGTATCACAGTTCTGGTTTAAAAAGGACAGCTTTTGGTCCAGTGATAACTTCTAGCCTTCTATTTATAACAGATCAGATCTTTGGTTTTGAGATGAAGGATTTGTCATCAGAGTATGGCCCAAGACAGCTGTCTCCTTTGAGAAGATGTAAAATCTTCTAAGGCTGATGGAAAACCTTTCAATAATGCACAAAAGTATGCAGCACTGTGAGAAAGCATCCTCCCGTTTGGTTGCAAATGGCCAAAGATGTAAAGACCCATATTCATCTAAAAAAATCCTAGTTGGAGGTCTAAGTGTGCCTTCTGTTTCTGGTTATCTATAAACTCAATCAATTCTTCATCCAGATTATTAAACTATCTGGCACAGTAATATCTGGAGACAATAAGTTTCATGTTTGACTCTGTATTGCAACAGAAATATACCCTCAATAACATCATCATACATGGTTCTTTTGGCACTGATTTGTTTGCTGGCAGGGAGGGAAGAATGCTTCACTACATCTAATCTCTGTAAGAAGAGCAGCAACATTAGGAAAAATTAAATACTGAGATGGCGACAGAGAAATGCATTTGTTTTCAGTGGCCAAGATTTCAAAGCTGTGCTTTCAATTTTAAAATTTTATCTAAGAATAACCACTACCTGGAAGGAAAGTATCTTCCTGATTTAGAATAGAATTTGACACATCTTTTCCTTTTTTCCTGTCATTGAAAAATTTCCTAGTCACTGCAATGAATCTACTTGAAGATTTGGAGTTTGAGATGGAAGAAGGTATGGTTGGTGACAATACTGTGGAGACTGTCCGGAAGTACTTTCCTGAGACATGGATCTGGGACATAGTTTCAGTGAAGTAAGTGTTTAAGGGAATGTAGAGTGTGGTCACTAGGCCAAAACCTTACTTTTTTTACTAACCTGTATGTTATAGCCTCAAAGGAAGTATCGGTATTCCAGTGAGAGCGGTATTTCTAGTAGACAGAGGGATTTTTTAAGGTCACTAAGTATAGGATTCTTTGGGGGAACATGCAAAAGCCAGTGCCCATATCCCAGCTGGTCAGGGGTTTGCTGTCAGCAGACATTATGCAGTAGGCTAAGAAGAATGATCACCAGAATATAACTGAAATCTTGTTCTCTGTCCCTAACCAGCTCTGAGGGAAACGCTGATCTAGATGTGACCATCCCTGACACCATCACCGAGTGGAAAGCAAATGCATTCTGCACTTCAGCAGACACAGGCTTTGGCCTGTCTCCAACAGTGTCCCTCAAGGCCTTTCAGCCCTTCTTTGTTGAGCTCACCATGCCCTACTCTGTAGTGCGTGGTGAGTCCTTCACGCTGAAAGCCACCATTTTCAACTACCTGACAGCCTGCATCAGGGTAAGAGACTTGCACAATTTTGCTCAGTCCAGCACCTTAGGGAAGATTACAGTGGGTCACTTATAGCATGGTTTCCCAAGCCAGATGACTGATCTCTAACTATAATTTCATACAAGTGTACATATGTAGGAATCCTTGCGGTATCAATAAAGAAGGAGTATGTTTTCCTGCCAAAGTTTAGAAAGCTCCATTAGATTCAGAACCTAAAGCTCTGCTAGTGAGACTCCCACCTTTGTCATTACAAATTTATGCCACTGTCCTATAGAAATATAAGACTTGGGTTATTTACAGACCATAGCATCATTGCACATGGAAATTCCAAGTTCACCAGGGTGGCTACCTGTGTTCAGCCTTTAGTCTCATCTCACAAAATATCACAGCAGTTTTGCTGGAATATGCAGACTTCCTTTGATTTGTTGCATCTGTCCCTAAGGCACAGAGTAGAGCTATACAGCTTCACTATTCTCTTCTGCATTTTTTCACCAATGAAAAAGTCAAGAGAATTTGGAAAATGATTGGTATGAAATCTCAACCACCTTTGCTAAGCTTTTTATAAATACAGATTTTTATTCTAAAAGGAATGAAGCTGAAAAAAGGAGGGGCACTGATCCAGTCATTCCAATGCGCACTCATTTATTTCCCTGTCTTTCCTGTTTTGTTTGCTGTTTTCAGGTTCATCTAATCCACTTTTCCTTGTTCCCTTACTTGGTTTCCCACCACTAGTGTTTTATCTTTTCACCTAACTAATCATGAGCAGGGTCTTTAATTCATGGCACAAGTGGTCTGTACTATTAATTTTCCCAAAATTGATTTTCTTTCCAAAGATCCTGTTCCCTACACTTACCTTATGAGTTTACATATCTCAGTCATTTCCCTCTTTATCAGGGAGTTCTTTCTCTGCAATATCCATAAGGTTCTCAGTCCCACAGTATAACAAGCTCCACTCCCCATTTCCATGTACCGCATCGCCTCCAATAATTTCAGCTTCTCTGCAAGTCCAAACTTCATGTCACTTGTCTGTGCAACCAACAGGTCAGTGTGTCCCTGGCTGAATCTACTCATTTCCTGGCTATACCAGCAGAGAAACAGGAAGAATCCTACTGCATCTGCATGAATGAAAGAATAACTGTGGCTTGGGCAGTAACACCAAGATCTCTAGGTAAGAAGCTGGACAACAAGAACATACTGAGATCAGATATCTGTGTAGGGCATTAGGTCTTTGGTGTGAGGAGCTAGGTAATTCAAAACCTGTTTGGAAGGATCTTCTCTATGTCAGAAGGGAGAAGTCCAACCCTGAGGTTGAGACACTACACTGGGTGTAATATTTCCAGTCCTAAACAAACCGTGTAAGTGTTGCAGGCCATTGCTTTCCTAACATGTAAATAGAAATCACAAATTCCCTTAATACATGCAAAGTACTCAGATATTCCAGTTGTGGAATTAAGAATGCCTTGGCTTAATGTTTCCGGGTCTGAAATTTTTTAATCAAAGCTTGCTTTGATGGTCCCAGAACAAGACCATTTGATTTACAAGACCCGCCCCATCATTTCTCTTCTGGCTGATGGACCACCTGTTTGTATGGCCATCTTGAAGGAGGTGCCCTGGAAGGCTGCATGAGGATCAAGATAAAACACTGTCTCAAATTTAGTTCTCCTCTTAGAAAAGCTCTGTAATGTATCAGGAAGTGCCTAGCACAAACACAAACCCACATTTCCATGGCTCTGCCGGGCAGGGCTGATTGCCCCTGTTTTCTCCAGGGCAGGTGGAGTTCTTGGTGAGCACTGAGGCTCTTCAGAACCAGCAACCCTGCGGGAATGCAGTTGTGGAGACCCCTGAGAAAGGGAGGAAGGACACAGTCATCAGACAGCTGCTGGTGGAGGTATGTGTGATGCTAATTTTGGTGACACAGAAAAGTAGCAATAGCAACAGCAACAGTTACTGTATGATAAAGGTTTTCTCTTTTAGCTGTGAGAGCAGAAATAGAGGCTTGTAGGACTCTAATTATGCAAGCTGTTATAAAAGAAGCATTGACAAATCTAGCCCAGGCCAGTAGAGCCCATAACTCATAATGTTGCTATCTCATAGTAAAAGCAGGGTTTGACGTTACACAGTGGGACAGAAATAATAAGGCAGGCCATAATGACAGGTTTTCTGAGACATCCTATCAGAGATAAGTAAGAACTCCTTGGTTTTACCTGTAATAAATCACAGGGATAGGTTGTAAATGGAACACTAGTCAGAAACCTTATACTTCTCCTCCAGCACATGGCTAGGACTCTGAAATATGGAACAGTCACCACAACCTACAAATATTTCTAAACAAAACTACCATCGCTGTTTCAAACTGGTTTTATTACACTTTTAAGAATGTTCAAAACAGTGTAACTAACCTTTTATTTTTTTCATTCTTTTGTACACTTTTTTCTTAAGCAGTGTTTTGCTATGATAAAAGCACAGCTTTTCACGTGATAAATTGCCAGTCATAAAATTAATCCACAGTATGGCTCCCTGTGATGCTATTAGCAAACAAAGAGTACTAGCTTGTTGTGTAGTGAAATCTATATAATAATAATAACTCCTTACATTGCAGACACTCCTGTTTGCAGTAAGGCAGAGCTAGGACTCATGTAACTTCAGAAAACGTTTTGCTAACCTGAATGTAATGATGGAACAACAATCCTATCTGCTAGTCACTTTTTTTTTTAAATATTTACAGATAGGTTTGTATGTATAATACATGAATAACTGTTTAACATTTCAGGAAAATTTCCTGATTTCATATATACCTTCAGGAAAAAAGACTTTATTTTTTTCTTTGAAGTTACTAGAAGATCAACACTGTAAAGTCTTTTCTCCCAGATGGCAGGGGAATGAAAATTACTGAGCAAGTATTAAAGATGCTTCTGTCAGGGTGTCTGAGAGATTGCTCATCCTATCCTATTTTTTTAATGTGGTAATTAATCTACAGCAAGCCGTGACTGGATGGAGTCAGAGATTAGCATCCAAGGCTCAACAATTAATTAGTAGGGGTGGATACAGTGAAACACGCTTGGGGTGAAGCTGCATTGTCACGAACATATGGATGACAATATTCCCTACAGTAGGCAGTGCATCCCAGAGAGAGAAGGGACTGTGCCAAAGGCTCTGGGGCATCCTTTTGCCCATCCAGAAACCAAGCCTTACTGAGAGGTCTTTGGGAAATAGGATGTTTTTTCACCCAGGAATTTCTCATCTGGAAAGGAAAGTCTTTCAAATAATTACAGTGTGTGTTTTAATTTCCTGTTGAAATGTCCAAAATCAAACAAAACAATGGATTTCTCATTTAGTTGCATATCACAAGGATATACTGAAACAAACATGAAGGTACCTTTGCAAACAGAAGCATTTAGTTCTGTCATACTTTATCCAAAAAGCTTTTTCTTTTTTCTTTTTTCTCCTACTCTTTTAATACTTTTCTGTCTTTTCCTATTGAAGGATGAGAGACAATGAATTTTAACTATGTGAGAAGGTAAAGACAATAACACCATTGTTTGCATGCTGGAAAAAATTTTCAGTGGGCAAAAGTTGGAAAACAGTAATGAAGCAATGGGAACTCTCCTATTTGGAGGTTAAAAAATGATGCCGGGATCTCCCTAAAATAAATTCTGACAAAAAATAGTTTATAGTAAACATTTGATTCCCGAGTTTTTTGAAAAATATTTTCACCTATCTCAACAGAAAAGAGGGATTCTTTTCTGACTTCAAAAAATAGGCTAGGAGTTTTTGAAACAGCAGGATAGAATCACCAATTGACTATGGCATATATTTAGATTTTTGTTGTTGCAACATGTCACACGTGGGTGCATTGGAGTGCTTTACCACCTGTAAAAGCTCTTGCATACATATCCTACCAGTGTCCCCACCACTCAGCCATCACTGCAGCTACACTGGGCCATAGTGGGTAGCACCTTGGAAGACAGGGTCCTGTGGCTCTGTTAGCACTGTTGGTAACAGCACCTTGCATGCTATCTGCATCATAACCTGTGAATCTGCAGGGCCTCTCTCAATAATAAGAAAGGAAAGAACATGTACTACATTTCATACTTGTCATTAGCCGGTATGTTATAGTCCTCAATTATCCTCAGTTTAGCACATGGAGGAGAAAACCTTGTAAGTCATTTCCAAAAAGTCCCTTTTAGTTCTCCTTTTGATATGTCTTCCTTTTCTTTGTTGTTGTTGCTGTTGTTTCTCATTTTTTGCTTTTTCTTCTTGCCCTTTTCCCCAAGCCGGAAGGGACTGAAGTGGAAACTACGTACAACTCTGTGCTCTGTGCTTCTGGTAAGAGCCATCTGCTTTCTAAGACTTTCCTTTCTATGGTAGAGACTAAAGACAAAGAGAGAAGAAAAGGTTTGTGAATGCTCCACTATGAGAAGAAAGGTGTGGGAAAGTGATAAAATTAAGCAAATTAGATGTATGTCCAACTGTTAGTGAAATCAGTTCCTCCTAGAGGAGGAGACCTGAGGATGTAATAGTGTCAACAATTACAGAGACAGAAGCTTATCTCTTAGGAACTGAGGCTGGCCAGGTCCCTGCAGGGAGAGAATATTTGGGATTTAATAAGGTTATCTCTAATGCCTTTCATTCAACAGGTATAAAATCACAAACCAGACTCTGCAGTAAGCCGGGTCAGCTCACCGAAGCAGAAGAGGCCAGAAAAATAGGTTGGAAAGTGTATTTGTCAGTCAAGGCCAGCTGATAGTGCCATGTAGATGTCCATGACAATCTGTGTGTGAGGGTATTGAAGGCCCAACACAAAATTTTCAGGATGGGAAGCATCATCAACAAAATTACAGATAAATGGATTTCTTGAAGGCAGGAAAACCCTGTTCAGGGGATAGCTGCTACCCATGCATATACATATATCTGGAATTGTAACCAAATGAATCTGTTTTTTTATCCCAGAAAAGTCAATGACAGAGACAGTCTCCTTGGTTCTTCCAGAGACTGTGGTGGACGGCTCAGCCAGAGCGTATTTCTCAGTGCTAGGTAAGTGAAGCATCCTTTAAGTGTCACCTGCTGTTTTGAAACACGGTGACTTCAGGCTGTGCTCAGTCTAATGGCTAATTTACACTGTAAATTGTCTGATTCCCCAGGTGACATCATGGGCACTGCCATGCAGAACCTGCACCAGCTCCTCCAGATGCCATTTGGCTGTGGGGAGCAGAACATGGTCCTCTTTGCACCCAACATCTATGTCCTGAACTATCTGAACAAGACAGGGCAGCTGAGTGAAGAAGTCAAATCCAAGGCCATTGGATACTTAGTGAGCGGTGAGACGGGACACAGCTTTTGCTTTTCTGTTCATCCCTTTCCTTGGCAACTGGATAAAGACACTATTGTCCACTGGCATGTATGATCTGTTGGAGGCTGTCTCTAGAAGGGAACGTGATACTGGTAGGTGAGATGTATATAATACAGTATCTGTAAGAAAGAATCCTATGTTCAAGTGAAGGTACAGCATGAGAGACAACAGCATCCAAACAGGAACACAGGAAAAGTCCAGAACTGGCAATAACTCAAGATTTCTTTCTGTAAGAAAAAGGTTATATGAAAGACATAAATCAGATTATAGCCACTAATCATGGCAGCTGCTTATGTGGATCTCGAACCCTCCTTAGGATTGAGATTTAGAAAGTATTGCTCACCTTTGACCAGGGCAGAATTTGAACATGTTATATAGGGCATATTGATAGACATAACACCGGTACATACGCACATGATGGGTATATGCTACTAGAAAGGGGCTGGTTTGACTCAGTTATTTTTTCAGGAATATTGCACTTCCTCCAATGAAAATTACCCTGTTTTCTGCATCCCTATCCTGTGTAGGGCTCACATTTTTTATCAGTTCTCTTCTGGGAACCATTCTCTCATTTCTCTCAAGTCTGAGATTCATTTACCTCTCCTCATCTAGTCTAAGGCAGAGATCAGCAATGACCACAGATATTCAGTTTCCAGGTGTTTTAGGTGAGTGGAAGAGCACAAAAATGGAGATACTCAGAGCTGTGGGTTTGCCTGAACTTCCATTGTGATACTTAGCAACATAGCTCACACTTCTACCATTAGTTAAGGGGGACATTGTGTCCCATATCTGCTACATTTCCTTTGCATGGCTCCTTGAAAAGTACAGTGGCAACTGAAATATTTTTTCACTCTCCATTTCAGGGTATCAAAGGCAATTGAAGTACAAACACTGGGATGGTTCTTATAGTACCTTTGGGCCACATTATGGGCAAGTTGGAAATACCTGGTAAGACTTCAGTACCACTGGCTTTTCATTACTGCTTTTCGTGCCTTCCCTTCCCTCAGTGTTCTTTTGTGCTTGGCCATTGTTGAGGTTGAAATGGAGTTGGAGATGAAGTTATTATCATGACATCACAGAATAATCATGTGAGATAATGGGGGAAGAAAGGATTTTAAGGGAGGTGCCTTTTAGGTTTGCAGTACTGCACTGATAGCTACTTACCTCCTCTGACACCCTTCTTCAGCTCAAGTGAGGGTGGCCTGAAAGATGGTATAGCTAGTTCTTGTTAGCAGAGGATGATGATGAATCCCCACAGTGCCATTACCCAGTGCCATTGCCTGCAGTCCTCAGGGCTATGAATAGCAGATTCCATTTAGCATTAGTCCCTATCTCACTGAGTTGCTAAGCTATCTCACAGTTTCCAACCAACCCCCTGTGATCAAGTCTTGTAGCCTCTACTGCTTTCCTGCAGAACAGTAATGCCCATATGGGCCCTATGACCTCTGATGGATACAGGACCTGCTCAGAATGTCTTGGTTCCCTCTGTCACTTTCAGGCTCACAGCCTTTGTCCTCAAGTCTTTTGCCCAGGCCCGGCCTCACATCTTCATAGATCAGAAGCACATCCAGGATGCTTTGATCTGGCTTACTCAAAAGCAGAAGGATAATGGCTGTTTCCGCAGTTCTGGGACACTCCTGAACAATGCTATGAAGGTAATGTGTCTGCCTGGTTGGCTCCATATGGCTTTTGTCAGGCTGCAACTTGACCATAAGTCAATCTGGGATCAATTAAGCTATTTTGTCACTTGGGGGTTGGAGAAGAGTGAGGAGCTATCACAGAAGCATGAAGAAGTCTGCAGCATCTTCTGAAGGACTTACCATGAGCAGGAGACTAGGAAGGATTTGTCTCTGCAGGATGTAAATACGTTGCATAGAGAGAAGCCAGTGGTGCTGTGTAGGATCAACAACTACTTTTGTGTTTCCCTGCAGGGTGGAGTGAATGACGAGGTCACACTGACAGCCTATATCACTATTGCATTGCTGGAGATTCCTCTGCCTGTAACTGTATGTGTCCACACCCCAACCTGAGCCATAGATGGTACTAACCTGTCCTACTAGTGTCCCTTCCCACCAGATTATCAGGTCTCTTTAGGTTTTGAAAGAAGAAATCCCACCTGAATAGTCTTTCTGTTTAAGCCTAGACTAAACTAACACTTTTCCTCCATTTTCCTTCCCTGTCTAGTCCTTTCTCCCATACAAACATTTTACTTAACATTTTTCTGAGTTCTTTCGTGGACAATAACTGATTGGTTCCATACAGATTGGATTAAAAATTAGTTAAATAAGATTTAATTCTCTGAAGTGAGCCAAAAAGTTTTCTACTCCTACAAAAATCTCCTTTTGTTTCTTGCAGTGGTACATTCCTGCTGAACCGCTTTTGTTGTGCAGAGACAACAGCATAGGCATGTAAAAAAGAGTCACACACTCAGGGTTCATTCTTATTTTCTCTGCCTCTTCTAGATTTTTTTATGGGAAATCCCCATCCTTAATGCTTGAAGAATAAGGTATACTATAGGTAATAAAGTACAGCTATAGAGAGTACCATAATGTCACTCTGTGAAAAGCCTGAGGCCTATTTAAGAACAATGAGGGTTTGGTTATTCTGATCCCCTCCCTTTGAGACAAGGCTGTGGTGCAGGTAAAATTGGGGTATGAATTGTAGCAGAAGGCCTGCTGAGCCAGGGTGGTTGCCAGGCTGCTGTAATTCCTCTTCTCCAAATGTGGTAGGGTCTGTTTTGTTTTCCAAGATTTTTCCTATGTAGCAAGAACCAATAGAAGGAATTATTTTGTCAGTAAGATGACATGGATGGCATTAACTTCACCAGAAAAGTATTCTTTCTTTGGTATGTGTTGTGTTTAGAAGACAAGCTCTCAGGCAGAAACTCTATTGGATAACAAAGAAGTTTTTCAACTCCCTCTCTGAGCCTAAAACCACCATTGAATGTGAAGGAAGGGGTTTGTCAGAATTTGAGTGAGATATAGGTGCATTTCAAGTTAAGCTGCATGAAATCCTAAATTTAACACAGCCCTTAAGTCATTAAGGCTATTGACAATCATACAGAATATTTCTATAAGTAAGCTATATTAAACCCTCATAAAAATCTTATTAGCACTGTTCTGACCATGTGTGTCTAATGCCACATCCTGTCTTTAGACTGAATCCTCCCCAACACTTACCTTACAAATACTAGTAAGCATATGAAACCTTAGGTGAGGCATAGACACAACCGATTTTGGTTTTATTCTTTGTTTTCTCAAACACAGCTGCATTACATCTCCAAAAATGATCACAAATGATTTCATTTTCCAGTAGACACCCAGTGAAGGCAAAGGACAAAGCTGCTGAAAAATACATCTTTTACTTCTAGATTAAGCTGTAAATGTGCTGTTGGGATTCAGATCATGACACGCTGTCTCTGCAGTATTATTGTTTCAATTTTATAGCAGATTTCCATCACAAATAAGAAATAGTCATGCATCTGGCTGCAAGATCATGGAGTCACATCATCTGTTAGTCCGTTACTTAACACTGTGTAAAGGAGTTACATTTTTTATAATTGCGCTCTCAATTACTTGAGATTCTGGCTTGCAAAAGACATACATTGTTAATGTTAATGTCTCACAAAAAACATTCCAGAAAATACAAAAAAAAAATATTCTTTCTTATGCAGAGATAGTTTCCTGCCAAACTAGAATCTACATTATCGGCTTCCAATAAAATTAAATTTTTTTCAGAAGGTCCTAAAAAAAGGGAGCTAAACAATGAAAAGAAAAGGACAGAGCAGAGGGTGAAAGCACAGAAGAGTCTCAGGGTGATAGCTGAAGGAGGAAAGCAAGTATTCAGGACATCTACAGAAAGGAAGTAATTCTTCTCAACACAGAAGGATCGGAGCCCTGCTTCTCAGTCTTTAAATCAAACTGGGAAAAACCATTAACAAGACATATTAGAGAAACATTGATACAAGATAAGGAACAGCCTTTGGCTGCCCATTTGTTCTAGGGATTATTGGGCCTGGAAGGGAAGGGATACGCAGTAGTACAATATTTGTCAGAGCAGACAGTGGGGTTGCCAAGGGTCCATAGGTACCATCCGATTCCTGATGTTCTAAGATGGGCCTCAGTGTGATCTCTGGCTGCTCCAACTCAGTCTCTCTCTTCTCCCAGGACTCGGTGGTGCGGAATGCTCTGTTCTGCCTGGAAATGGCGGCAGATCAGAAAGAAAACCATGTGTACACCAAGGCACTGCTAGCATATGCATTTGCCCTGGCAGGGAAAACAGATAAGCGGAAGACATTGCTTGACTCACTTGAAAAGGAAGCCGTGAAAGAGGGTGAGTACTCCTGGTGGGACATCTCTTTTATTGGCCTTACATCTTCCCTTGATAAAATGGCTTTTGTTTGTGGGGTAATTGTTAATGTAGGAACTGGCTTCTGTGAGTACGAAAAGGTGGAGGGAGAAGAAAGATTTGTGCAAAGGGATTACCTTTCTGAGAACTCCCTCTTAGTCCCAAGTCCTAAATCTCTGCTTTGAGGGAGTTCACTGGGAAGCACCAGGTACCATCCTCTCAGTAATGAACTAAAGAATAGCTTTGCTGGCATCTCTCCTTAGTCCACTCCTCTTGCCACACCAGGCACCACTTAGCAAAGGCTTAATAATGTTTATGGGCATTCCTTCCAGGGCACGGGCTCAACATAGAACAAAGTTGACCTTGCACAGCACAAGGCATGTAAATCAGAGAAGTGCTGGATGTGCTGAGGGAGAAAATGAATATACAGGTCACTGTGGAGGCCACAGCATTAGCTCAGAGTCTTCTAGGAATTCATGTAACAATTCAGAAGCATTCTACTTAAATCAGACCAGACAGTAGATTTGCTCAAATGTTGGGTAGCAGGGTATTGAGGGAAGTATCCCCCCCTGCAAGTTACTGTCAAGCCCTGGTCACATTCTTTGAGCCATTTTGTCTCACAGATTCTGTCACTGCCCGACCCCGGCATCTCTACTCAGAAAGGGAAAGAGCAGTATCCTTCTTAGGTCTCTGGTTCCCTGAGGTGCCCAAGTCCAAAAGCATCTATGTGAATCTGGAGTCTAGAACAAAGTGGTATCTAGGCATGAGGCTCAGCATCCTCATACTAGCTGTAAACCCACAAAACGTGTAACCATAACCCTTCCCCCTTCATCCTGCATGACAGACGCATCCTGGAGGCTGCATCCTCCCACCTGGAGTTGTAGCAGATCAAGAAGTCTCCTGCAATAACTCGTAGTAATTGCTTGTTGTCTTGTCTCCACGCTCCCTGCCTCCTGCGAAGATGGGTCTGTTCATTGGCAGCGACCTGGGAAAGAGCCAGAAGTTGATCTCCCCTACTATCGCTACCGAGCTCCCTCTGCTGAAGTGGAGATGACAGCCTATGTGCTCCTTGCTTACCTCACCTCTCAGCCAGCACCTTCCCAGGAGGAGCTGTCATTTGCATCTCATATCGCAAAGTGGATCAGTGGTCAGCAGAATCCCAATGGAGGCTTCTCCTCCACCCAGGTGAGCTGCTTCCCATTCCCTCCTGCGACTTTGCACATCAATGTCGGAGGATGGGACATGTCAGAGAGCCAGGTGGGAGCCCAGTAAGGTTTGCCAGGAAGGTGGGAACATTAGACCTGCAGTATATCCATGCAGTACCCACCATGCCAAGTGCTTGAAATGCTAGAGGCAAGTATGTCAGGTAGTGTCCCTGGGAATGACTGAAACTTTGATTAATGACCTGATTTTCTTGACACGGTGGGGCAGAATGATAGGGACACAAGGAATGTGTGTTTGTGCCGTTGGAGAGGGCTCATGCTGCACTTTGTTTGTGCATATAAAATTGCTGCTTTGTCCTGTAAAGTGCAAGGGAAGGCTGTGCACAGCTCCACACCAAGGAGGTCATGGAACCTTCAACTGCTATCCAGAGGACACAGGAATGGAATGGGAACATGCAAAAGCTGACCTTTGCCTCTGTCTTTTTGACTTAACACTGGAGAAAGTGAAGGATGGATGGTGGGGTGCCAAGAGAAAGGGCAGACCTGTGGGAGGGCAGGCTATGGCAAGGCTGACTGCACCCCCCTGGGTGCTGGGATCTGTCTCTTTCAGGACACAGTGGTGGCTCTCCAAGCCTTGTCCCTGTATGGAGCTCTCACTTATGCCAAGAGCGGAGCAGCTTCCAAAGTGACCCTGCAATCTGGAGGGAACTTCCAGCAAGACTTCCAAGTGGATCCCACCAATCGGCTGCTGCTCCAGCGCATGTCCCTTCCCCGGGTGCCAGGGGAGTACAGTGTGGAGGTGTCTGGTGAAGGATGTGTCTACCTGCAGGTGAGGGAGATACAGAGAGGTGGCATCCTGGGAGGGGAGCCCCTTGCCAGGCCGGAGCCATGGAGAGGGCAGAATCATAGAATCATCTAGGCTGGAAAAGACCCTAAAGATCATTGAGTCCATCTCCACCTGGAGAAGAAGGGACAGGAGAGAGGGGAGAAGTGGGAGGGAAGGCTCTGGGTAAAGGGAAGAGGAGAAGAGCAGAGTTATGTGGAAGAGAACGAGTGGGAGGGAAGGAGGGAAAGACCTGCAGTGTGGAGGAGCTGTGAGAATGGGAGAAGTGGGGAGGCTGGGTGGGGGAGAGCATCCCCTCTCTCCAACGTTGGGCATCACGCACACATGCTCACACATGGCTGCTGCCTGTCCCCTAGACAAGCCTGAGGTACAACGTGCAGCCCACACAGGAGGATGCACCTTTCATGCTTCGTGTGTACACTATCCCAGAGACATGTGTGGACTCCAAGGCTCACAAGGTCTTTGACATTGGCATAAATGTCAGGTGAGTCTATGTTTTGGTCTGAGCCTTCCTGTCCAGCCATGGGGGCTGGAGGAGGTCTGGTTGTCCCCAGGGTGAGCCAGTCTGGAAGCCCTGGAGGTACAATGAATTCCTGGGACGGTGGGCAAGAAGCAGCTGGGCTGGGTCCTGCAGTGGTGAAATTGTGTGGGCAGCCTAGAGCTGGGCTAGTGAGAGGCTGCCTAGATGACTAGGAGAACCTGGCATAGCTGGAGAAGCAGGTGCTGGACTGCCAGGACTTGGTGTGGTGCCAAGTGCTACGGATAAGCTGGAAGTGTCCCCAGCTTTGACTTGATGTGCACTGAATCTTTGTTGCTCAATTCCTTAGTTACACTGGAGAGCGCAACAGCTCCAACATGGTGATTGTTGATGTGAAGATGCTGTCGGGATTCATTCCCTTGAAGTCCTCAGTGAGGAAGGTAGGATGATATGTGAAGCATTTTTTGGAGTATACCTGTCCTTGATCCAGGGCATCAATTTCCTTATTTAAAGGAGATTTTAGTTCTTTTCCTGGTATATTTGTCCCTCTTGCATCTGTCCAACTTTTCCTCCAGGTCCTCCAACCCTCAGCTGTGAAGTAGGGGTGAATGAGGGATGCCATCTGCAGCATTGCTTTCCCACTCCTCAAGCATTTGTGGTAGCTTGCAATTATTCAAATATATGTGGAGTTTGGCCTTGAGAAAGAGAGCTGGAAGGAGACCATTAGGTTAAATTTCAGGAGCTCAAGAGCCTTTGGAGATAGACGAAAGCCATGACAATGCTGGTCCCTCATTCCATTTTTGTGTCAAGGAGGTACAAGAGCTTGAGATGATGGGAACTGGGGGAACACTTAGTGTGTGGGGCTTCATACGAGTGTTTCAGAAGGCCCTTGGGAAGTGCTCTCCCTGTGCTTTACTTCTCAGCACCCAATTGGTGGGATTCTGCTGGTGTGAGGAAACTTAGAAGGATTGTCTAACTTCCATCGGATTAGCAACCTTTTCTGTCTCCTCTTTCCAGCTCTCAAACACCTGGTTTCACCAGATCCAGCGGACGGAGGTGAACTCAAATCATGTTTTGCTGTACATAGAGCAGGTGAGGACTAACTCAGGGCTGCCATGGGGCACAGAGTGAGCTCTGCAGCACACCAGCAATAGCATCAACAGTGATGGAGAGAATTACTAACCATCTCCAGGCTTGTAAACACGGATAAACGTCTTTGTCACCAACCTTGTATGTCTCATAGGAGACAAACTCTGTCCCAGCCCTCAGCAGGCTTTCCCTCCACGGATCAGGCCTTGTGATTTCTCCCCATTATGGGGAAAGGTTTCCCCTTGCCCTTCAGCCAGGCCCACAGCCCCTGTGTCCCATCAGGGCCAAGGCACAGGTGGCAGGGGAGAGTGAGAGGGCCTGGGGCAGTGTGGAGGCAAAGAGGAGCCTGGGACAATGTGGAGCCCCCCCTGATCCTCTACCACTTCCCTTTCCCAGCTGAGCAGTGAGACCCTCAGCTTCTCCTTCACGGTGGAGCGGGACATCCCCGTGCAGGGCCTGAAGCCAGCCCAGGTGAAGGTCTATGACTACTACGAGACAGGTGAGTGGGGGTTGGTAGCGCCCATGGGAGCAAGGGTGGGCAGTGGGATACGTGGAGTGGCACAGGAGCTGTGCAGACCCACAGCTGCTGCTGGCCTGGGCCATCACCTTGAGCTCTCTGAGTGCAGAGGGGTCCAGGGTAGAGCCATGGGTGCTGAAGGTCCTGTGCTCAGGTCTGGCCCCAGAGCACAGCCGTGCCTGTGTTTGCAGGCAGACCTGCTGCTCCTTGTGTCTCTGCTGTCCTGGCTGCTGCGCCAGGCTGGCAGCAACAGAGTTGTTTGTCCCCACCCCACCCCAGTGTGCTGGGAGAAGGTGCCTGAGCAGCCCTTGGGCCCACCGGGGTAGAGATCTGCTGGAACTGCTTGTGCGGGGTGGCTCTGCCTTGCTGCCACTGCCCCCAGATGGGGCTGTGACTTGGGCTCCTCCCACCCCAGTTGAGACCTGTGGAGGGAAACTGGGGATGGTGTCAGCGGCCTGCTGTGGAGCCTGGGAAAAGCATCTCTGGCACCTGTCCCTCTGTCAGCAGTGCCAGGGGTCATGGCAGTTCACTCTCTCCTTTCCCTTGCTTTCCAGATGAGTTTGCCACACAGGAGTACAGTGCTCCCTGCACCACAGGTAGGGTACCGAGACTCCTTCGCTTCACAGTTCTTTATGTCTTCTTAATTGTATTTTTTAGTCTTCCTGGCAGTGCTTTTCTCTTCATGCTTGAATTTGGATTACATTTGCCCATCTTACAGGCACAGATATTGCATAGAAATTGAGAGCATGTGAGTTGCACTGTTGTTGTTTCCCAAGAGATGGCAAGTTTGCCTTTGGTAGCAACAGCTTGCCTGGAGCAACAGCTGCTTCCTGCTCAGCTACCTCCTGCCCAAGCAGAAGGGTTGTCTCTCAGGAGGCAGGTGTGCCTCATTACCCTAGGCAGCCATTCCTCAGTCTTGGTTTGGAGACTGAGCTGGCAGAACAGAAATACTGTGGTCTTTGGGGGGAGGGTTCTCTGCAGCACAAGTCCACATGTGTTTAGCTTCAGAGCTCAGGTAATGTGGGAGCTTCTGTAAAAGGCCCTGGCCAAGGATATTTCTCTCATCCTATGTGGAGTCTTCCAATATGAAGAATGACAGGTCTTGCTTCCCCCCAGTTGCTCAGTTTCACGTGTTTGGAATATGGAGGCTTCTGTAAAGCAGAGTTCCTGGGAAGTGGTTTTTCACAGGGCCTGAAAGTGCCATCTGAGGGAAGAGAAAAAATGATCTGGACTTGGGGAAGGCAAAAGCTTTGTCACTTGCTGATGGTAAATGGTGAAATTTATCTCCTTTCATGTTCTTACCTGGTATCTTGGAAAAGAGCCTGAACTCCCACACTTTTACTCCATACTGCTTGCTAACCTGGGCTGTGTCCATAAGTACAGATGTGTTCTGTTGATTTTGGACCTATAGCCTCAGTTCATGGAAAAATGCACATAAGTCCTGATGGACCTTGAGTGGATAGTAAAGCATTTCCAAAGGATGTATTGGTGTGGTCTGATCATTCAGTCTGAGACTGGTGGGGAGGCTTTAGATTTTAGGCTACTCTTCCTCATTTCTGTTAAAAGGCAGAGTTTTTATCTTCCTTGAAAAGGGTAATGGGAAATTGCTACTTAAGAAGTTCATCCCCTGGTCTAGGTGTACAAAGGTAGTCTGCACTGACTTAAAAGGCAAATCTCAATCGCCAAGTTTCCTTCCCTGCTCTGAATAGTAGGGCAGCAGAGTGCCATAGGTTCCTTCCACTCTTGGCAGAGAAAGAAATAGAGTATGTCTCACTGTTGCACAGAACATCCTTGCCTGTTTGCACTGTGCTCCTGTGTTCATCTCAGTTGTGACAAATCCTACTCTGTTTATCCCTCCCAGTGGGTCAGAATGAATTTCAGCCCTCTCTCAACCTCACATAACCCTGAAGGTGACATGAGTATTGAGTGCTGTGGATGACTGTCAACCCTGGTGAAACAGCAACTCGCTCTCCTGTTCTGTGCTTCTCACACAACCTGGCTTCCATATCCACATCTTGCTCTCTCTGTCATTCGTCCTGAGAGGGGAAACTGACATATCTCTCTAACTACTCTCCCCTCCCATCTTCTTCCATTCTTGCAGAGGAAGTAGACCAGGGCAATGCATGAAGAATACTCCCAGATGCTGGAACCCACCTGCCTCACTACCACCAGCCCCCCCATAGAGTGACAGATGAATAATGCCTGCAAGGAGTGGGAAATTAACTTTACAAATAAATTAACTGTACTCACCAATGATTTTTGAACAATTTATTCCCAATTCTGATTTTTCCTGCTCAGCTTTCAGTCACAGCTTTAATCTCCCTGGCTTCTTAAGTTGAAGAGGATACCATCCAGGAATGTCTGTATGCAAAGTAGTAAGACTGACAAGTGAGGAAGAAAAAAAGAGGACCAAATGATTTAAGTTGGGGTCAGCCTTTCTAATGTATCTCTATCTGTGCTATGTTCTTTGAACTTGTCATCTGTGATCCTGTATAATCAATGGAGAAGGACAGGTACTTCTTGGGAACAATTTCTCTCCCTGGCTTAGAAACCATAACCTTGATAGAATTGGTCTCTGCTGATGGCTGTCCATGTCTCCCACAATTAGGCAGCCTGGATGATCAGCTAATGTTAAAAGACAGCCCTTCTGGGATTGTTTCTTGTTTGTAGAAGAATGGAAAGAGATATAGTCTGCCTTCTTCTAAGATTAGAGTGTATGGTGGCAGGAGGAATGTGTGCATGCATTATGCCTTCAGCTGCTAACTTAGCCTGTTCTCCAGTTGGAGCTTGGACCTTCTTGTGGAAACTTCCATACCTTGTGTCTGCTGCTTCTGGGAGATTCCCAAGGAGAAGCTAATGGCATTTGCCCGTAACCTACCTGCCTAAGTCTAGTCTAAATGGCACATTTATTTAAATCATAGAGTTGCTTCGATGAAACTCTCTATAGGCCTCTTATATATCTCCAGGAATGCTCCCCTTTTCTTGGTTTTGTCTCATTAATTTGTGGGTTTAACTTTTTGAATGCCGAAAGATCTTACATGACTGTTTATTCTCATGAAATGCTTATTGTTAGGTATCATGGCACACTGTGTATCCAAAGTATGTTCCATCTAATTTGTTTTAGTGAGCCTGTACAAAAAATGTAAATGAGAATAAATAAAATTCTTCATCTATTTTGCTAGATATTAATATTATGTCACTTTGTCTTCTGTGGTGTTTGGCATTTACACATTCAAGACCTTTACACACCTCATATTCAGAGAAGTCTATGGAATGAACCACCTTCAGTGAAAGCTGAACAGTATTTCCAGTCCAGCTAATTGCATTTTGTTTTGATTTAGAAAGAGTAAAGCCATCTATTTTTTTACCATTAGGTAATTACTTTTCCAAGTTCTGAAAGCAACATAGGCTTTGATTGCTGAATTAAACTGTTTGAATTTTAGACCACTGTGATTTGCCTTTGAAGCATGCCATGCATGCTCCATGGGGATAGAAATTCAATATTCCAACATTCCTGTACTTCCTTTAGCCTTGCTAAAGTTTCCTAATGGTATACTATGGAGGACATTCAAGAATGTGACTGATGATTCACAATCTGGTTGAGCAGAGAAATATCAAACTGCTTCACAGACACAGAATGGCCAGGGAGCTCCAAATGCCAAGTGATGTGGCTGCCCACGGGCAACAGGTGTTGATTAATTTAAAACCAGGCAGCAGCAAAACACGGAACATACTCCAGTAATTTTACAGACTTTTAAATTGAATTGTCATGATGATCACTTTGTTTCTTTTGAGGCAGTAAAGATCTAATGCCATAACCATGCAGAGTTCATTTACTAACCAGAAAGCAAACTAGGATGAAGGAGCCGCTGCCATCCATCTACAGTCTGCAGTAGAGGATGGTCTGTATTTGCAAACCTGTGTGTGAATGCACAAGTTTGTTGACCTGTCACTTCTGAACCTGCTTGCCCCTAAATAACAGTGTCAGCTATATCACTTCAGCACAGTCAGTTTCTCATGACCCATAGCAAAAGGACAGATATAAAAGGGGCCAGAGCAAACTGCATTCCTCACACAGTGAGGAATTCTGGCTCAAGAAGGGGAAGGAGAGTCTTGAGACATCCACATGGATGATAATAATGCTAAGAACATCAGTGTCACTGAAACAAATACAGTCCTTTACTGCATCAGTGACTTAAATGTTTGACAATCTGGGTTTGTGTACATGAAAGAAGATACAAGAGGGATTCCTACAGGTGTGTTTTCTTCAGCTTATGTTGGGAGGGTGAAAGGCACCTCTGCGCGTATAAACATGTAAATAAAATACACATGGTTCCATATGACCTCTTGAACTGAGGTTGATTGCCCTTGTGTCCCTGTGACAGATCTAGACCAGAGAAAATGTGATCTTACAAAAAACTGATGCCCAATGTTTAACCCAAACTATCAGAATCCGTGGCTCCTCCTCTGAATTCTGCTGAAGCACTGTAAGCCTAGTTGCAAGGGAGAAAAAAAAAAGTATTAAAATTATTCAAAAAAACTAGAAGACAGCTACAGGCCTCCAGTGAGGGGTAGAAGATAAGGTTCTCATGAAAAATGCAAGGGGTTTGGCTCATAGTGTGGTTCTTGGTTGAAATTCTAAGATTATCTTGAGTGCCATCACTTGGCATGTACAGGAGAACCAGGCAATCAAGCAGGAAAGGCAGGTCCTCCTTGACCAACCTGTTCTTCTGTGACAGGGTGACCCACTTAGTGGATGGGGGAAAGGCCATGGATGTTACCTCGATTTTAGTAAAGCCTTTGACACAATATCCCACAGCACTGACCTGGAGAAACTGACTGCCCATGGCTTGGACGGGTACACTTTTCAGTGGGTAAAAACCTGGCTGAATGATTGGGCCCAGGGAGTGGTGGTGAATAGCGCTACATCCAGTTGGCCTCTGTGTCCAGTGGTGTCTCCTAGGGCTCAGTGTTGGGGCCAGTCCTGTTTAATACCTTTATCGATGATCTGGATGAGGGGGTCAAGTGCACTCTCAGCAAATTTGCAGAAGACACCAGTTTGGGTGGGAGAGTTGACCTGCTGGAGGATAGGAAGGCTCTGCAGCAGGATTTGGACAGCCTAGATCAATGAGCCTAGGCCAATGATATGAGGCCCAATGCTGGGTCCTACAGTTGGATCACAACAACCCCATGCAACACTACATGATTTAGCAGTGGACTTTGCAGTGCTGAGTTAATTGTAGGACTTGATGACCTTAAAGGTCTTCACCAACCTAAACAATTCTATGAATGACACTGTTAAGATCCCCATTCCTCTCTTTTCACTTTAGCTGTTTAGAAGCAAGCAGACAATTTCTTCACTGCTAGAACGGAAAAGTCCACAGGTCTTTCCTTCACTTCTGTCTAGTCTGCTGTGAAAGATCACACTGTCCTCCCATCTCATAGCAGTGATTTCACAGTGAGATCAAAGGTGATATGTGATCAGAGGTTTTTGTCCAAGGATCATCTTGCAGAAAACATCCTCTTTTAGATTCAAACTTCCAGTGCAGAATGGATCCGGTAGGATTTCCTTTCTTCCTAGAGAACTGGCAAGTATGGACACAAATCTCCCAACTGCTAAAAGCTGTCTGCCTTCTGATATTTCCAAACACCACCTTGCCATGGATGGCTCTGGATTGAAATCTCAGGCCATTACACAGTCAGAGCTATGGATGGGAGGAGAGACAAGACACAGTAACAGAAAACAAAGCCAGACACATCTGATGAGAATCAAGACTTAATTTATTTACAATGTTACTTCCTTTGTGTTTTTGAGGTGTCCTCCTCTAATGTTTCAATACCCCACCCTCAACAAGAAGATCTTCTAGGGGCAGAGACGTATGAGCTGATACAGCAAGACTCAGACAAGATGCATTCTTCAGGAATTTCCCTGTTCAGCCTTGACTGGAGGTCGGAAAAGGACAGAGTGAGATAAGTATTCTGGTGAGCAGTGTCCAGAGCCCTGGACATCTCTGTGTTCTGGTGGCTATGTGAGTTCAAGCCCTGTTCAACTCTGGGAAACTGCTTCACCTAAAAATGCCCAGTTGTAGACAGATAACAGAATGGGAGTGGCTGGACATGTTCAAAATATCTATGCTACAGAGAGGGGAGGGGAGGCAGATTTATCCTGGAGATACATGAGCTATCCCAATACACATTCTCTCTCAACGATTGGATTTCCCAAGGGAAGGCAAAAAATAACACCAAGCAGAGTTTGAAGGGTCCTCAGCAAAGACATGTGGATAACATGAAAATTTCCCCAAGATATTTGGGAGACAATTCCTCAGTACATTTCAGTGCCTGCAGCATAGCAGACGTGGCCCAGAAAAGGACAGAGACACAAAATGCTGAGTGTTAGTGTTCCATCCCAAGGGCGGCTTCAATCTTATTTGCATAATGTGACACAAACACAGAGGAAAAGATGATTGCCACTGTGCAAATGAAGGCAGTAACACTGAGATTGCTATTCTCAGTGAGTGAAAATAAAAGCTTTATCTGATCTTACACAGGAAATTGGGTGGCAGCAGTGCTTTTGGTTTCTGTACTGAATCATGCCAAGAGACTGCAGTAGGCACAGTGAAGATAAATGCAGTATACACAGGCTGAGTATACACAGGCTGGGGAAACGCAAGGTCTACAAAGACTTTAATTCAAGAGAACCTGCAATAGCCCATGCTGGAGCTTCTCAGTTGTTCATGGGCACCTACCTGTGGTGCAGGGAGCACTGTACTCCTGTGTGGCAAACTCATCTGGAAAGCAGAAGAGAAAGGAGAGAGTAAACTGCCATGACCCCTGGCACTGCTGACAGAGGGACAGGTGCCAGAGATGCTTTTCCCAGGCTCCACAGCAGGCCGCTGACACCATCCCCAGTTTCCCTCCACAG